CTCCAATAACCATGGCATTAAAATTTGTTGAATTTCATGAATTGAAAGGTATTTATAAAAACAATTGTTCAAATAAGAAGTAGTTAAAAATATATTTCAAAAAATAACATGTCAAACATCATTCTCCTTATAAAAATAAAAAAAAATAAAACATAAACTTTAATTTATGAAAAAACATTGTTATGATGCAAATATTTTATCATTTGGTAATATTCAAGATGATGCAGAAAGATATAAAGAGATGGTAGAATGGGTTAGTTCATATAGAGAATTAAACACAAAAAGTTCTTTACGTCAACAAAAACCAAAAGTTTTATGTCCAATATGTAATTCTTATTTAAATCTTTCTGATACATATTGTGTAGGTGATTGTTGTCATAGGATCTGTTATAACGTTTGTTTGCTAGTGTATTATGAAAAAAAGTCATTGTATTTAATAATTTAGTGTATTAAAAAACATGTACAACAAGAGATTAATTCAAGTAATGAATATATTAATTGTCCATGTGACCAGTGTGAATGTAAATTAGATAATGCGACTCGATTATTCAAAGATAAAATAATTTCAAGTGAATTAAAAGAAAGATATGAAAAAAAAATGAATGATGCTTATTTAAAGAAAAATAACTATTCTCATTGTCCATTATGTAATGGATTATTACCTCCATATGATGGTCCAAATAAAAGACATTGTAAACATTGTAACGATGACTATTGTTATAATTGTCATGAAAAATGGCATGAAGGATTTACCTGTCAACAATTTGCCAATTATAAGAAAATGAGTCCTCTTTTAAAAGAACTCTTCGTTGAAGGATTAAAATTTATTAAAAACGAAAACGATATGGCATTATCAAATTGCATCATTCAATTTAACTCTATGATATTGAATAATTGTATGTCATTTCAAAGATTTATAAATTCATTTAAGGATATTCCTTGTAATCATGCCTCTGATGGATTTTTTGCTTGGCATGGAAGTTCTGAGGCAGGTGTTAAAGGAATTTGTCAAGAAGGTTTTGATCCTAAGAGAAGAAGTGGTCAAAGTTATGGTATTGGAGAATACTTTGGAGTTACAGCAAAAGACTCAGGAAGTTATTTAAAAGAAAATAGTAATCATATGATTTTAACGTTTATTTCAAGTAAACAGTTTAACAGAATATGTAACAATTTTTGTTATGTAATAAACAACCCATTG